GGGGGGGGGGGGGGGGGGCGTTCATCACTATTTTACTACTTTACCTAACGTTAGCATCGCATGAGGCCCTCGAGTATTACGGCTCTACACGTTCTACTTGCAGCCCGAACCTCTTGAAATACATTTCTTACAAACATGGCTGCGACGTCAAAACGCACTCCACAGCACAACATTTCTCTCGTCAACCGAAGCTACGGGAGACGACAAGCTGTGCCGTTGACGAAACGAAAGACCAAGCTACCCCGCAATCCAACGAGAGAGGCACCAGCACAAGAAACAACACTCAGTCAAACCATCCAACAAAAGGCCTTACCTTGTACTCTCCGCTCTCCAGCTTTGACTTCACGGTGCCAAGATCCATCGGCCGCTTGATAATCGTGGTGTACTCCGGCAAGTTGAGCCCGACGTAGTCCACCGGCTCGTTGAACCACTCGCTCTTCCCTCGGATAGACCGCAAGTTGTTCAACACCGTCACACAACGCCGCAGCCCGTGAGTGAGGTGCGTCGTGCCGTCGTTGCCGATGTCGTTGATCAGCTTCGACGGCGTGCGGCTCACTCTCCGGCTAGGGGGTGCCGGCGTCTCCGGCCCCGACCCACCCGCCTTGGCCGACCCCCCGCCGTTAGCAAAACCAGGACTCCCTACCGCGGCCGGCGAAAAGTGCTTCCCTCGGTTCGGCCCGTGCAGGCCGGGTGTGCTACCCGACCCACCCCCCCCTGGTCTTTTCCCCGGCGTAGCCCCCGCCCCCGCCGTGCTGCTCGCGCGCGGGCGGGGCGCCTTCGCGACCTTCCGGTAGGCTCGGTAGACCTCTAGCTCTCGATTGGCGCTGAGGCGGCCGGTGATGGTGAACGCTCCGTACACATTGTTCCCCTGCCCCTCCACGTTCCAGCCGCCCTCCGAGTTCTTGACGAACGCGATGTGGAGGTCCTTTTCCTCCACCTTGGACACCGGCTTGGGCGGTTGTCGCACCAAGAAGTGTCCTTGATATTTCCCGGTGTGTGGAAACCGTACCGCCCCCGTACCCGCGCCGCCTCCTTCCACCATCCTGAACTCGAACGGGCTCGCTCGGTTCTTATCGGCAGCCTGCAGGTCCGCCTTGTTCATCGCCCAGTTGCCCGTGCACCGGTGCACTCCCGTCGTCTCGTCGACCTTGAAGAGCCCCACCATGCAGGGCATCGATTCCGTCGGCAGCGGCAACGGCGGCGGCAAGGGAGGCGCGCCGCCGCCCCAGGCCGGCGAGGATCGATCCGGAACGAAGCGCGCGGCAGACAACGCGCGTTCCACGTCCGCCTCGCTGCACTTTTGCGGCAAGCTTCGCCCCTGCGGCGCGCGGAACACCATCACCGGAGTGGAGTGCCTCGCCGCTGACCCTGCTCCGCTTCTCCCCGCCCCGGCCGCCGATTCACCCACCCCGACAGCCGCCGCCGCCGCCGCCGCCCCCGTACCCCGTTCTTCCGCCTTCGGCAACAACTGCTGCTGGGAAGGGACGGGCGACTTGGACGGTGGCGAGGCGCGAGCGGGGCGGGGCGTCGGAGAACTCCTCGTAGCGGACGCGAGCGCCGCCGCTAGCGCCGCCGTGGCGGCATCCGACGCTCGCGCCGCGTGATCGTCCACCTCTTGCCGTGGGGAAGAAGCCGCTGGAGACGAGGAGGCGTTACGCGCCGCGGCCGCGGCCGCGGCCGCCGGGGCCGCGGCGGCCATAGCGGCAGCAGCGGGACTGTGGCCACCGTTGCTCTCCACCGGCCCATTCCCATTCACTGCCGCCGTCGTCTCCTTGGTCGCGCTAGATTCTGCTGTTGTCACCTTCTCCTTCGATTTAGCGCACCCCTCCTTTGCTGCAAGCTCTTCCTTCGCCCCCGCCTCCTTCGCAAGCTCCTTCTTTGGTTCTGACCCTTCTACCTCCGGCTCCTCTCCTTTCGATTCTCCCCCGTCCGCCTCCAGCTGTTTTTTGTCCTTGACGGTTGCCTCCGCCGCCGGCCTTTCTCCACAAGCTTCTTCTGTACTCAACGCCTCCTTTGGCCCCTCCTCCTCCTCCCTCCTGCCACCCCCCTCCGCCTCTCCCCCCACAGCTGCTGGTGTGCTCGGTTTGGAAACAGTAGAACCTCCTCTCCCCTGGTCCTCCTCCTCCTCCTCCTCCTCATCTCCCGAGTCCGAGCTTGTCCCCGCCGCCACTTCCGAAGCTTCCTCCTCCCCCTGCCCCGCCGCGCCAACTTCCCCCGCGGACGCCGGTACCCGATCCGCTCCGTTTGAGGCGGCGGCCGCGGCCGCGGAGGCGTTCTTCGTGGTGCTGTGGTTTGCTGCCGTGACCGCGGAAGCTGCAGCTGCTGCTGCAGATGGCGAGCTTACCGCTGTGCTGCCGTTTGACGCGCTGGGGGCAGTGATGGCGCCTTCTACCATGCCGAAGCTGCCGGTACCGAGCGAGAGAGGAACGGGTTGATTTCTTTCAGGAGTGAGGAGTGGAGATAATCAACCCATGTTTGGATGCAGAGGTAAGGTAACGAGCACCACCATGTTAGGTGCGTAGCCGATCAAAAGGCGCTCGCGGTAACGGCTATCATGGCGTCGCATGGCTGCTGTTGTTTTGAAAAAAGGAACGCGGCTGCTGTTTTCAAAAACACGCGAAGCAACCGATGGTGTGTGGGGGGAAGGAGCGCGAAACGTCCGAAAAGCACAACGTGCTCGCTGGTATTGTGTGCTTGATCACACAAATGAGGCAGTCTTGTGCAGTGAAGGGCGTGAAAACAGACAAGACAAGTCATGTGGGGAGATCGCGGGAGGCGACAGCATCAGCAGAGTACGGCAAGTACTAGGCTCTCTTCTCTACAAGGAGGAAACCGACGCACGGCGCTCGGCTGGCAAATCAGTGAACCCGAGAATTTGTGCGACACCACGGCTGCTAGCCCGTCGTGTTTAGGAGAGCAGTGAGCCAACGCCCACGCCAACGAGACAAGCACTATCAATCTTGAAGGATAAGGATGAGTCAACAACGGAGGTGGTTGATAAACCGCTGCCATCGCAGTGTCACGTGTTGCCGCCAGCCCACGGTTCTCGCGCTCACTGCTGTATGTCGCTCTTCGGCTGAAAGAGGTCAACACTCAAAGGAACCGCTCCGCGTCGCCAAAGAAAAGACGAGACACAAAACACCGTGCGAAAGCACGCAGACTTAAGAAAAACAGAGGTCGGCTTGGGCGCTTCCGCGCGTGAGCTGGATGAATGGCAGATGACCAGGCGCTGGGGCTCACCTCTTCGCCTTTATTGGCGATTCAGTTGAGGAATTGGCCACGGGAGTCGACGCCGACAAGTCGGCGGTCATCTTATGCGTCCCGAGTCCCCAAGCTGAGGTCGCCGCCATCACCAGCGCACGCCCCACACCGACCAGGAAGAGACAAAAGTGCTCGCCGCTCTAGACGGTGTCACGCGAGAGTCGATCACTCCGATGGCACGGCCGGTCCTTCGTTCCGTACAAGGGTGGTGGCTTCCGCGTTCCCTCTGCTCCGAGGGGGATCAACGCGCCCCGAGCCGAGAGACCCAAGTTTTGTGGCGCTCGGTCGAAAAACAACCCCAGAATCAAAGTGACTGACAAAATGAACAGGGGATTTCGGCCCCACTCTCTCAGAAACGCCCCAAACTGCGCCCGATGAGTCTTGACTCGAAAATGAAGGCGCCTCGCCACAAAAATAATAGAAACGAGCCAATCCGCAACAGCGCGGATACAGGAGCAGTCCTCCGGACCACGGGCGTCGAGCGCTCTCGGTCGCCGTCGCCGCAGCAGGCCCACACGCTTCCCGGGCGTCACGCCACGTTTTTTTTTTTTTTTCTCCTCCCGGGGAATTATTCCCGCGTACTCTTAAATGAAGATGTTTCTTCCAAACGGAGGGGATGAATGGATGAATGACAGCGTGTGTGGCTCGTCGTTGTAAGTCGTTGTGTCTTTTTCTTGATTTTCGATTCTTTAAATCTAGTGCTGCGTCAGATTTGATTGGCGCGAACTTCTTACTTGGATGGTATGTGTCACGCGAGAGGTAGAGCTTCACCCCCTTTGCCATCTGCCGCGCGCTCACGCGCGTTGGAAACTACAGGAGTGAGTGACAGAGCGCTACCACATGTCCCTTGGTTGGGTCTTGCACGGCCGTGTTTCCTTGCTTCCAGCGCCGAGGACGCCTGCATCAGCACGCGGTGGTTTTGTCATTTTTTTTTTTTATCTGAATCTGTATCGTGGATTGTTTTTGTTCTCCAACTTCAAGTTCAGAGGCGAACTTCGGCACACGCCCAGAGGGAGCGATCAGCAGGACTCTATGCTACATCCGGTTTGGTGCTTTTGTACAGTTATCGTAGCGCATGAGATCGCACTCTAGGCGGGCAATAAACCGGCACACGGTGCTGCTACTGCTGTACAGAGAATTACCAATTTCTTACGAACTCCACACCCAAACCATATACGATTCATATTCTTCCTTGTGGTAAAACGCATACGTCATTTGGTACACGTGTCGCACACACACGCCTCCTCCGTGGTTGGGCGTCTGAAAAAAAACTCAGCAGTAGGTGTGCTGCTCCCGCTGTGAGCTTCTCCGCCCACTAGAGAACAGCAGTGAGAGGAATGGGGTGTGTCCAGAGGAGCGCCCTTTTTGCCTCAATTAGTTAATGGCGACACGTACTTCTATAACTTGGAAGTATTGTTTTGTCCTACTCGGTCTGTGGTTCGAGTATTTTTGTCGAGATGATGATGGAGCCGCTTGCTATTGAAGACCTCTCTGCCTCCGGGGATCATGGTCCTTGACGTGATATACCTCTACCAAAGACAGGTTTTGAGGTTGAAACAGTAGTAGACTTTTAACCATATACAAAGTGGTGATGGTTGCATTTCTTCATTTTCTGACCACACCTACACTTACAACGCACCTCACATTTTTGCTCAACAATGAAAAATACCGGCTAAAGCTTTTCATGATCGAAGGCTCCAACCACAGAATGCGCCAGCCTCCGCTTCATTACGAACTTGAAGGTTTAAATGAAAAGAGATAACAACTCTCACCCCACCCCCACACCTGAAACCTGCATCCTCTGTTGGTTCTTGCACAGAGAATATCATAAGCCGCGAGGGTTGCCCAAAACAAGAGCATGTTCTTCACTGAGTGACGCGGTGTTTGGCGCTTTCGCTTCATGGCAAGGATGCCTGGCGAACATGGTGCAGCTATTAATAACATGAAAAGGAAGGCCTCAGCGCGAGGGAGCCATCACAAACTGGCTTGTCGAAACAAACGGTCTCTCACGCTTTCAACATCCTATTGCTTCAACAAGTCGTATTTGGGTTTTACCCATCAACTCGTCATGCCCAACTTAACAATCCAGTAAATGGAGCGCCTCCCCCTCAAGCCAGGCTCACGTCCCGTCAGATGCAATGCGGACGACAATCATTTACACGGCGACATGCTGTGTCATTGAGGACTGCAGCACGCACAACCGAAACCAAAGTACCGTAAGCCTATAAAAATCGCACAACAACAACTGTACCTCAAACAATGAAGCAAACATTCTCCACCGCCACGTACGTCCAACTAATAACCCAATCAATTAGCCTTTCCTCGTCCACCGACAATGGGCGAGCTCAACACAGCGTACCCGGTGGCCACCCCACCCTCGTCTGTGCCCTCCATCTTGGTCCTGACCAAATACCCCGCGTACTCGTTCAGCAACTCCTTGCCCTCCCCGCCGCCCAAGTACGTGCCGTACACCCCTAGCTCGCTGATCGAATCCCCGGACACACACTTTCCGCGGTTCACCATAACGGCGGGCTGCGTTTTGGGGAAGATCCGCTGCATCAGGACAAAGCTGCGCAGCTCGTCGTCCGTGGCGCCGCCGGCGTCCAGCTTGCTCTTGAGCTCCGGCCCGTAGAGGTTGTTGCCCCCGCCCTCCCGCTGCGGCTTCAGCACGTACTGGTCCGGGTGGGCCACCGCGTCCGCCGTCGCAGCGGCGTCGCCGTCCGGCCCAACCGAGTACAAGCCTGCGAAGCAGCGCCGAACCGCGGCGCTCTCGCTTGCCCCGAGGAACCGCTCCACCTGGTAGACGATGATGTCAAGTACAGAGACCAAAGACGCGTAATGCGATTCGGGCCGGTCAATTGTGTCCATGGGGGGGAGCGTGCATGTTGTCGTGGCCATAGAGACGGGAGCTACATTAAACGAGTGTGAATATCGTATATGCATGAGAGAGCGCAGCCCATGGACCGGCTTTCAAGAGCGCACCCCGTGGACAGAATTTCAAAGGTTGATTACTCCACGACGAAGAGGATGCCAAAATCACTTGATACGCTCCGCACCGTCAATATTTTCCGTGCGGAGTAATCGAACTTTGGCAATCGGTCGATGGGGTGGGCATCCTACGCGACCTATATGATAGTTCAGCATAACCTAGTAGGAGGAACAATTGTGCGTTAGGTACGAATTGTGTTGCCGCCACGCCCAGCACCCAGCCACTCCCAACCCTAGTCGCACGAGCTCCAACTCCAAGGCGTGCTCTGCTCTTCCTCTGAAGTGGCGTCCGCGAGCGACAGTCATGACCTTCACATGGCAGGACGCCTCGGCACACAACGCATAGCTACCGGCATCAATTTAGTCTGATGATGTTCTCCACCAACCTTCTGGCCCAACCGCTGCCGAGCACAACTTTTCAACCAACACCCGGACGCAAAGCCGTTGTCTGTCCTTGCTCTAGACGAATAATCTCACCTGCCCCTCCTGCGCCAGCACTTGCTGCACTTTCTTCGTGCCGGCCAGGTGGTACCCTATGCTCGGGCTCTTGATCGCCGTCGATCGTTCCAGCTTCAACCGAGCGTCCCACTCCGCCCGCCCAAAGTAGTCGTTGGGAGCGTACCCCGCCCGGAAGTAAACCACCGCTATCTCGACGGCGCCGCCGTCGACCGTCAACGTCCCGTCCTCGCCCAAGACACCGCCAGCTTCGATCTAGGATACGGATCGCAAGACGTGCACACGTCGCACCGCCATGCGAGTTAATACAGAGGCAACGGGGTTGTGTGCTCGAAAGCTCCGGTGCTGGCACAGAACTGGCCATCAAGAAAATCACAAGCCATCCTCAGCGTGTCCGCACGCCGCCTGGACCGGAATACCCTAACCTCAGGTGCTGGCTACATATTTTCCTTGGATTCTTTGTGTACCGGCATGTTGGCAGCATTTCGAATGAGGGGGAGTCTGCAATCAGGTCGCGAAAATTGAGGGCGTGCTTGAACGTCCGCAAGAGGCACCGAACACACCCAGAACCAATCGAATCGAAGGGTCTGCCAACATGCATACAACACCCACTCCGTGTCGGCCCGCAATCAAATGTCTACAATTCCTGCCGTGCTATTCACACATGCGTTTTTCGAGCGCACAGTGATACCTACTAGCGCTACCGTGTGCTACTTTGCACCTTGTAAAAACAACAACAAAAATCGATAATCACCGGCAACATTGCCATCTCCCACCAGCGCCGTCGATCGACGCCGACATAATGGTCACCCGTCACCCCGGACCACCTCCAACAACACTTGCCGCCACGTTTTGATTCACGGCCCGCACCAATATCACCACCCTTTACTTGATGTATACCGACTGTCTCTGATTCCCCGGGGGCCCCCTCTTACCTCTGCGAGCGACATGCGCACCACGCGCACGCGGTGATGGTCCCAGAGGTTCATCTCCAATAGCCTCTGGTCCACCGCGTTCGTCTCCCCGGGCTGCACCACGAACAGCACCACCGCGTCCGGCTTGCCGTAGCACTTGTGCGCCTCGGCTAGCGCCTTGGGCAGCGCCGTCAGGGTCGGGTTCTGGGGGATCAGCTTCCCAAGCCCACCGTCTCCGGCGGCCGTGGTAGTGGTTGTGTCGATCCCGACAGAGGCAGCGTGGTCTCTGATGGTCTTCCCGGCGCTGGAGGGCTCGTCGCCGAAGCGGCTGAGGAGGTGGCGGTGCAGCCTTGCGGTGAGGGCGCTCATGCACCCGAAAGAAGAGGCGATTGTGTTTAGCTCAACCTTTTTCCGGGGAGGAGGGGGGGGGGGGTCGACAAGGGTGCACAAGGCGGATCGAACAGCCTCGGTCAGACGGAGATGAGGGGCCGCGCTCACGAGGAGTGAGGAAGCAAGTGTTCATGAATTGCGAGAGTTTCGAGAAAACGGCAGGAGTGTTGACCTCATGACATACAGGAGCGTACGGACACCCCCCCGTCATTTTCGGCATGGAGATTGCACGAATGCGTACAACACACACCAACAAGTGGTGCTGCGACAAACCGTCTTTGTTTGTCATGATCAACACGCGGTTTTCCCCACTCAGTTCACCCCTCCGGTGACCGCCGAAACGCAGTAGGCGGAAGACACTTCCTCCAACAAGTGACCAGCTTCTACCTTGCCGCAAACTTTCGGTCTGATAGATTTTTTAAGAAGTAGCAGTACCAGCCATCGTCCGCGGAACGGGTCTCGTTATCAACAAAGTACCAGCCCCCCTTCGCTCGCGGACGCGGATCTAAATACAGTGAGGTGAAGTTTCTGTGTAAGGCCGCAAATTTATGGCAGGTTGCCTTGTTTAAGGCCGGTGAAATGGCTCGGCACATCTGAATTATTCAAGTTGCCTCATACTCTGAGAACAGTGCTGGGTGCCCGCTATTGTAGGAGGCCGGCCCTTGGACTATAGCGGCCTTAAACAGTGACCTCTTTTGTGCGGTGTATTAAACCTTCTGGTTTTTTGCGTGTGGCTTACCTGGAGCAAGTGTGGGGCTGTCACTCCGTCCTCGGGGACGTGCAGCAT